GTGTTTGCACTGTATATATGTTTTTACAGTTGTTTTACATGGCTAATATACCTGAACATCGGAAATGGATGTATAATCGATTGTTACCTGGAAAAAGGGGGTACACAGATGAGTTCTTATTGGGTGTTGAGGAATTTGTAAATTATGCAAGCACACTTCTTGTATACAAAGCTTCAATGAAGATTAGGTGCCCATGTAGTAAGTGTAAGAATAGAGCACACTTGTCTGCAGATGATGTTCGTGTTCATTTATATAGGAAGGGTTTTGAACCAAGTTATTGGATTTGGACATGTCACGGTGAGCTTCCACCTTCAATACAACCACACATGAATGAGGGCCCTAGTGAAAATAACCAGTATGAACAAATGGTTTTTGATGCATCTGGTCCATCATTTTTTCCATTAAATGTCGAAAATGACCAAGATGAAGAACCACATAGTAGTGCAAAAAACTTCTATGAATTGTTAGATGCTGCGAGACAACCTTTATCAATGAATATTAATGAAGAAACAGAGCTGGCATATACATTTAGGATGATGAATATCAAGACAACTTTTAATATACCACAGCTAGCAATGGATAAGATATTTCAGTATATTAACCATTTGATGGGTCCCGATAATCGAGTACCTACCAGGTATTATGATGCAAAAAAGTTACTTACAAAGCTTGGTCTTGGACATGAGAAGATTGATTGTTGTGTAAACAATTGTATGTTGTACTATAAGTCTGAAATAAATGACAAGCACTGTAAGTTTTGTGGTGAGACAAGATTTAAACCTTGCCCATCTGGATCTACTCGTGCAAAAGAGGGGCCTCGCAAAAGAATGTATTACCTTCCTCTCATTCCTCGATTGCAACGTTTGTATGCATCACATAGCTCTGCTTCACACATGCGATGGCATTATGAAAATCGTCGCGAACCTGGTATTATGTGTCATCCCTTTGATGGTGAAGCATGGAAGCACTTTGATAGAAGGTTCCCTGATTTCTCAGTAGATCCCCGAAATGTAAGACTGGGCTTATGTTCTGATGGATTTTCTCCTTTTGGTTTCAATGCAAAGTCGTACTCTTGTTGGCCTGTTACGGTTGTTCCGTATAATCTCCCACCTTCAATGTGTATGACTACACCATACACATTCTTAACCTGTATTATTCCTGGACCAAAGAATCCAAAGGCCAATATTGATGTCTATCTTCAGCCTTTAATTGATGAACTTCAATTGTTATGGGAAACAGGTGTCTTAACTTATGATGCATCACTTAAACAAAATTTTATGATGCGCGTTGCGTTAATGTGGACCATCAATGACTTTCCTGCATACGGTATGTTATCTGGATGGCAGACAGCCGGGAAACTAGCATGTCCTTATTGTCTTCATTATTCTAAATCATTTTATCTGAAGAATGGTCATAAAACATGTTGGTTTGATTGTCATCGTCAATTCCTTCCAATGAATCACTCCTGGAGGAAGAATCGAGATACCTTCGTCAAACAACAAGCTGAGAAACCAAGACCTCAACCAATTTGGACAGGAGATGAGTTGTTTCATAGTTTGGAAAATATCCCAAGGATTATTGATGGTCCAATTGATCGCATTGAGGGGTTTGGACAAGCACACAACTGGAAAAAAAAGAGCATATTTTGGGATTTGCCTTATTGGAAGGATAATTTGTTACGTCACAATCTTGATGTGATGCATATAGAGAAAAATGTGTTTGATAACATTTTCCACACAGTTATGGATGTCAAAGGCACAGCTAAAAATAAAGATACGCCTAATGCACGTCTCGATATGAAGGACGTGTGTAATAGGCCCGAACTTGAGTTGGTGGAAAAAAAATGGACGTTATCTTATGCCCAAGGCAAGCTACAGTTTGAATCGTACTAATCAATTAGCTGTGTATGAGTGGTTACGAACTTTGAAGTTACCTGATGGGTTTTCTTCTAATTTGGCTACATGTGTTGATTCCACATCTTCTAAATTAATAGGGATGAAAAGTCATGATTCTCATATTTTTATGCAGTTTCTTATGCCTGTAGCCTTCATGTTTTTACCAAGTTGTCACTGGAAGCCTTTGACTGAGTTAAGTGCGTTTTTCAGAAATCTTTGCTCTACATCCCTACGTGTAGACAAAATACAGTAAATGGAAAACTCAATTGTTTTAACATTGTGTAAGTTAGAACGATTTTTCCCTCCAGCACTATTTGATTGCATGGAACACTTGCCTGTCCATCTTCCCTATGAAGCATGTTTAGGTGGCCCAGTACAATATCGTTGGATGTATCCATTTGAACGCTTCCTCAATCACTTGAAGTCCAAAATGAAAAATAAGAGATATGTTGAAGGTTCAATTGCTGATGCATATATGCTTGAAGAGGCAACACACTTTGCATCATTTTATTTTGAAGATGATGTGCAGAGTAGAAGAACAAGGATAGGTTGGAACCTAAATGATGGCGGCATTGATCAGAACTTGCCAGTTACTTTGTCAATATTCAATCGACCTGGTCGGTCGATGGGCAGGAGAAAGACAAGATATTTGAGTGTAGAAGAACGTTTCACCGCTCATCAATATGTGTTACTGAATTGTGAGGAGGTTCAACCGATTTTAAGGTATGTGTGCTCCACTTTTTCCCATTTTGATTTCAAATGTATATATATATATATATATATATATTGATATATTGATATATATATTGATAGTGCCTATAGCTCTAGTTACACATATCAACAAGATAACATATCGTTGCCTACATATGGCAGTGATCAAAGTATTCAAGATGACGTGCAAGAGTTAGTGCACGAACCATTACAAATGAATGAAGTGGAATTACCTCACATCGGAAATCAATGGTCCGGCCAAGGTGTCCAAATTGAAGATTCAGAAGAAGAAGATACTGAAGAAATTGAAGAAGATGACAGTGATGATTCTGATGAAGATGATAGTGGAGATATTGGTGATGAAGATGATAATGAGGAATCAGAGAATGATGAGGGTGATTTTTAATTTAGAGTTGAAATTTAAATGATTTTAATGTTTACTTTAATTTTAATTAGTGTTTAAGAAAAATTTAAGTAATCGTAAAAAAAATAAAGAATTAGCCCAAAAAAAAATGGCGAAAATCTGAAATTTTAATCCCAAAATTTCATTAAGTCTTCTCTCCCTCCACTACTTAGATTTCCCTCTCCCTCCACTACTTCACTTCTCCATCCTTCTCTCTCCCACTTCATGCGTACTTCCTCCTTCACGGCCCACTTCCTCCTTCACCGCCTACTTCCTCCTTCACACCTCCAGCACCGGCAGTAGCACAACAATGGCAGTCGGCAGTCCCTAATCTCGTATTCTGAAACCCCAGGTACTTTCTAATTCAATGTTTGAGTAACCCAGTCCCTAATCAAATTTAGGGTTTTTTTTAATGGATTCTGAAATATTCTATTTCTTGTTCGAATATAGGTCTTCATGATTCCGATGAAGATGATAGTGGAGATATTGGTGATGAAGATGATAATGAGGAATCAGAGAATGATGAGGGTGATTTTTAATTTAGAGTTGAAATTTAAATGATTTTAATGTTTACTTTAATTTTAATTAGTGTTTAAGAAAAATTTAAGTAATCGTAAAAAAAATAAAGAATTAGCCCAAAAAAAAATGGCGAAAATCTGAAATTTTAATCCCAAAATTTCATTAAGTCTTCTCTCCCTCCACTACTTAGATTTCCCTCTCCCTCCACTACTTCACTTCTCCATCCTTCCCTCTCCCACTTCAAATGTGTATATATATATATATTGATAGTGCCTATAGCTCTAGTTACACATATCAACAAGATAACATATCGTTGCCTACATATGGCAGTGATCAAAGTATTCAAGATGACGTGCAAGAGTTAGTGCACGAACCATTACAAATGAATGAAGTGGAATTACCTCACATCGGAAATCAATGGTCCGGCCAAGGTGTCCAAATTGAAGATTCAGAAGAAGAAGATACTGAAGAAATTGAAGAAGATGACAGTGATGATTCTGATGAAGATGATAGTGGAGATATTGGTGATGAAGATGATAATGAGGAATCAGAGAATGATGAGGGTGATTTTTAATTTAGAGTTGAAATTTAAATGATTTTAATGTTTACTTTAATTTTAATTAGTGTTTAAGAAAAATTTAAGTAATCGTAAAAAAAATAAAGAATTAGCCCAAAAAAAAATGGCGAAAATCTGAAATTTTAATCCCAAAATTTCATTAAGTCTTCTCTCCCTCCACTACTTAGATTTCCCTCTCCCTCCACTACTTCACTTCTCCATCCTTCTCTCTCCCACTTCATGCGTACTTCCTCCTTCACGGCCCACTTCCTCCTTCACCGCCTACTTCCTCCTTCACACCTCCAGCACCGGCAGTAGCACAACAATGGCAGTCGGCAGTCCCTAATCTCGTATTCTGAAACCCCAGGTACTTTCTAATTCAATGTTTGAGTAACCCAGTCCCTAATCAAATTTAGGGTTTTTTTTAATGGATTCTGAAATATTCTATTTCTTGTTCGAATATAGGTCTTCATGATTCCGATGAAGATGATAGTGGAGATATTGGTGATGAAGATGATAATGAGGAATCAGAGAATGATGAGGGTGATTTTTAATTTAGAGTTGAAATTTAAATGATTTTAATGTTTACTTTAATTTTAATTAGTGTTTAAGAAAAATTTAAGTAATCGTAAAAAAAATAAAGAATTAGCCCAAAAAAAAATGGCGAAAATCTGAAATTTTAATCCCAAAATTTCATTAAGTCTTCTCTCCCTCCACTACTTAGATTTCCCTCTCCCTCCACTACTTCACTTCTCCATCCTTCCCTCTCCCACTTCAAATGTGTATATATATATATATTGATAGTGCCTATAGCTCTAGTTACACATATCAACAAGATAACATATCGTTGCCTACATATGGCAGTGATCAAAGTATTCAAGATGACGTGCAAGAGTTAGTGCACGAACCATTACAAATGAATGAAGTGGAATTACCTCACATCGGAAATCAATGGTCCGGCCAAGGTGTCCAAATTGAAGATTCAGAAGAAGAAGATACTGAAGAAATTGAAGAAGATGACAGTGATGATTCTGATGAAGATGATAGTGGAGATATTGGTGATGAAGATGATAATGAGGAATCAGAGAATGATGAGGGTGATTTTTAATTTAGAGTTGAAATTTAAATGATTTTAATGTTTACTTTAATTTTAATTAGTGTTTAAGAAAAATTTAAGTAATCGTAAAAAAAATAAAGAATTAGCCCAAAAAAAAATGGCGAAAATCTGAAATTTTAATCCCAAAATTTCATTAAGTCTTCTCTCCCTCCACTACTTAGATTTCCCTCTCCCTCCACTACTTCACTTCTCCATCCTTCTCTCTCCCACTTCATGCGTACTTCCTCCTTCACGGCCCACTTCCTCCTTCACCGCCTACTTCCTCCTTCACACCTCCAGCACCGGCAGTAGCACAACAATGGCAGTCGGCAGTCCCTAATCTCGTATTCTGAAACCCCAGGTACTTTCTAATTCAATGTTTGAGTAACCCAGTCCCTAATCAAATTTAGGGTTTTTTTTAATGGATTCTGAAATATTCTATTTCTTGTTCGAATATAGGTCTTCATGATTCCGATGAAGATGATAGTGGAGATATTGGTGATGAAGATGATAATGAGGAATCAGAGAATGATGAGGGTGATTTTTAATTTAGAGTTGAAATTTAAATGATTTTAATGTTTACTTTAATTTTAATTAGTGTTTAAGAAAAATTTAAGTAATCGTAAAAAAAATAAAGAATTAGCCCAAAAAAAAATGGCGAAAATCTGAAATTTTAATCCCAAAATTTCATTAAGTCTTCTCTCCCTCCACTACTTAGATTTCCCTCTCCCTCCACTACTTCACTTCTCCATCCTTCCCTCTCCCACTTCAAATGTGTATATATATATATATTGATAGTGCCTATAGCTCTAGTTACACATATCAACAAGATAACATATCGTTGCCTACATATGGCAGTGATCAAAGTATTCAAGATGACGTGCAAGAGTTAGTGCACGAACCATTACAAATGAATGAAGTGGAATTACCTCACATCGGAAATCAATGGTCCGGCCAAGGTGTCCAAATTGAAGATTCAGAAGAAGAAGATACTGAAGAAATTGAAGAAGATGACAGTGATGATTCTGATGAAGATGATAGTGGAGATATTGGTGATGAAGATGATAATGAGGAATCAGAGAATGATGAGGGTGATTTTTAATTTAGAGTTGAAATTTAAATGATTTTAATGTTTACTTTAATTTTAATTAGTGTTTAAGAAAAATTTAAGTAATCGTAAAAAAAATAAAGAATTAGCCCAAAAAAAAATGGCGAAAATATGAAATTTTAATCCCAAAATTTCATTAAGTCTTCTCTCCCTCCACTACTTAGATTTCCCTCTCCCTCCACTACTTCACTTCTCCATCCTTCTCTCTCCCACTTCATGCGTACTTCCTCCTTCACGGCCCACTTCCTCCTTCACCGCCTACTTCTTCCTTCACACCTCCCGCACCGGCAGTAGCACAACAATGGCAGTCGGCAGTCCCTAATCTCGTATTCTGAAACCCCAGGTACTTTCTAATTCAATGTTTGAGTAACCCAGTCCCTAATCAAATTTAGGGTTTTTTTTAATGGATTCTGAAATATTCTATTTCTTGTTCGAATATAGGTCCTCATGTTCTTGGTGTTGTTGCTGCTTATCAAGCTTCCATTGGACCATCCCTAAATGACTTATCATGTGTCCTCACTCCTAGGGAAAACAATGCAGTAGACTCAGCAAGATTAACTTCACGAGAAAAAAACTGTAAGCATTGTTTTCATTCCAGCATTCTTTTCATTCCTTTAAAATTGAAATTTCTGGATGAAATTGTTTTGTATTGAAGGTTAATGGAAGAAACTATGTGAAACCAGAACTCAAAATTTCTGGTTTGTGAAATTTCTATTCTAAATTTTTGAATATAGATTATGTTTTAAATTTCTGATTTTTAATTCTATTTCTTGTTCGAATTTAGGTCCTCATGTTCTTGGTGTTGTTGCTGCTTATCAAGCTTCCATTGGACCATCCCTAAATGACTTATCATGTGTCCTCACTCCTAGGGAAAACAATGCAGTAGACTCAGCAAGATTAACTTCACGGGAAAAAAACTGTAAGCATTGTTTTCATTCCAGCATTCTTTTCATTCCTTTAAAATTGAAATTTCTGGATGAAATTGTTTTGTATTGAAGGTTAATGGAAGAAACTATGTGAAACCAGAACTCAAAATTTCTGGTTTGTGAAATTTCTATTCTAAATTTTTGAATATAGATTATGTTTTAAATTTCTGATTTTTAATTCTATTTCTTGTTCGAATTTAGGTCCTCATGTTCTTGGTGTTGTTGCTGCTTATCAAGCTTCCATTTAACCATCCCTAAATGACTTGTCATGTGTCCTCACTCCTAGGGAAAACAATGCAGTACACTCAGCAAGATTAACTTCACGGGAAAAAAGCTGTAAGCATTCTTTTCATTCCTTTAAAATTGAAATTTCTGGATGAAATTGTTTTGTATTGAAGGTTAATGGAAGAAACTATGTGAAACCAGAACTCAAAATTTCTGGTTTGTGAAATTTCTATTCTAAAATTTTGAATATAGATTATGTTCTAAATTTGTGGTTTGTGCTTTGTTGTATAATTTATGGGGACTTGAGAATGTATTATAAGGTATCTATCCCAATTACAAATATTAAGAGAGCAAATGAAAGCGAAAATTTGAAGAATCCATGCAATATCTAAAGCCTAAAACCTATTTATGTGTAACCAACCCAATGATGGGCTGCTACTCTAGGCAGTCTCTGAGGGTTTACAGTGTGTTTGGGGACTGGCAGCATAGATGAGGCTTTGAGCTGATATGCTGTGCAGATATTGTTGGCAGATCTGCACTTTAGTGCAGGGATGAAGCCTTTCTTTGCAGGTGTTGTTGAATGGAGCTGAAGTAAATTGCAGGCTGGATGCTCATCTGCAGTCTTAAAAAAGCTGCAGATTTGTAGATAATTTGAGAGGCTGCAGAGTAAAGGATCATTTTGAGTTCTGGTTTCACAAATCAGAACTCAAAATGATCATTTACAAACACAAAATTTAGAAATGGTATTTTACACTACTAACTTTCTTTGAATTTTAAGTAGAAAATGTCTCAACGTGCAAGGCAAAGTTGTACAACGTTGATGTCCCAACCACCAATATCTAACTCTGAAAGTCCACCATCAAATACTTTCCCACAGTCCAGCCGAAATAGTGATTCGGAGCGAACTATATCAGCCTCACCAAATGATGTTCCATCACCTCCACCTCCACCAAGCAACAGGCCCATAGTACGCCCCATTGGGAACAATTCGTAAGTCTTATATTGATAACTATAATAATTATAATGTGTTTAACATTTATCTCTAACATTTATAATTTGTTATAGGTTTGAGCCATGGCGTGCGAATAAAGTTATCGATTATGTAACTAAAATATTTCCAGATGCTATAAAATCATACAATGATGCTCCTACACATATGAAGGACGTATGGTTTAATGAATTTCAGGGTAACTTATTTTATAACTGCTATTAGTAAATTACTTTATAACTACCATAGGGAACTACTAATATATACATTTAATAATTTATACCTTTACTAATTACTTTATACCTACTTTATGCTCCAGATGCTATAACTATTACTTTATACATTTACTAATTACAATTTGATTTTTTTTAATCTTATCAAAGAAAAAGTATAAGTGGAATCCAGAAGATGAGGCAGTAATTCAGAGTATATTCCACAAAATGGCTGCTAGAAGATTATCTGACACGTTGGGGCAGGTTCGCATCAATTTGGCAAGAGGCCATGCACCACCAAATTGGATGAATGATCAGGTTTTGGCCCAATACCGCAGCATTTGGAATACGGAGGAGTTTAAGAAGACTGCTGTGAAGAACAAAAGAAATAGAAATTCAGATTGCGGGGGATTGGGACCATCACTGCACACTGCAGGTTCAATCTCCATTTCTGAGCATAGGAGAAGATTAGTAAGTCATTTACTACTATTTAAATACAATTTATAGTTAAACAACAACATTAATATTTGGTTTATTGTCTTGGATAGAAAGAAAAGCATGGAGAAGAGCCCTCCCATGCAGTGTTGTTCCAAGCAACTCACAAACGCAAAAAGACAAATGAGTTCGTTTGCAAAAAGGCTGATCATGTAAATGTAAGATACTAAAACTTTTCCTAGAATTAAAAGTGTAGGCCTAGTAAAGCAGTTTTACTTGTTTTAAAAAGTATATTCCATAATATATTTGTGCCAACATCCAAATATAGTAGTAAGAATACCCCATATCCTGATATTTAGAATGCAGATTATATTAGAGCAGAAACTATACGGACTTGAGAACTAATTAAAAGTATGCTTAGTTTAGACATGTTAGGGGATTAATTACAATGAAAATATATATGAATGACTAGTTATGAAAGTATGGAATCTTGCTGCTAATTATGTGTTATGTTTTTTGTTAAATTATGTGAATGTTAATGTGGTTATTTGATTGATTTGCCATTACATGAACTGAAATGTGCTTTGATATGTTTCGTGTGTTAATCGCTTGGATTGGCCTGATGGTGTCCACCATTGCTTTTCTAGTCTTACTTGTCAGTTTGAATCTAGATCACCTACAACTTGAAATCCTTGCAATTTTTTATTTAATTTTTGTGTTTTGGTTTTTAATCTAACTATGATATATTATAAGAATTAAATGAAGCCAAATATACCTGAAAAGAGTTGTATGGTGAAGGTGCATCTAAGCCATACAAGTCCATTGCCCGGTGGTGTTGCCCAAATCCTCCAAGTCAAAGTAAACACTCTTGTCACCATACTTAGCCACAATAGCACCAGCCCTATACACACAATGCACACATTCAGTTCTAGATCACTAAGTGGAAGTTTGGCTGTACAAATTAAAGATGAAATCAATTTAAACTGAAGTCTATCTGTTATTAGATTCATTTGCCAATTTCCAGTCCATAGACCACCATATTTGGGGCATACTAAACTAGCTTATACTAGATTGCTTGTCAAAAATCTTGTGATCTACATGTTGACTTCATGATGAAAATGATCTCTTTATCTTGTTAGGGCAGAAAATGTTTGACATTGAATCTCTTATAAGATTCTCTATATGTATAAGCCTTGATACATCTAACTCTTGCTTCATTTGTAAACTTGTATTGCTTTTCATTCCTTTCTGTGGGAGAAGTCTCACTACATATTAGCTAAAACCTTTACTGTGTGCAAACCTTTACTGTATTGAATCTTTTTATTTATAATGAAGAGAAGATAGAGTTACTGCCTTCTACTACTTCAAGAGTCTTACTACTATGAAGTCTTACTGCCTTCTCTTATTGAGTTTTGCTACACTTTGTTGGTAATTGTTTGAGGAATTTCTAGGAAAATTATTGTCATAACATTTATTAGATTTTGAGATGATAAAATGATTGTGTTTGGTAAAAATTGTTAAATATAGGAGGCTGCAATTCAAAAACAACAAACTCAACCTAAGCTTGGAGAGTCAAATGCATGGTTCGTGGCAGCCGGTGGCCTCAACAAAAGAGGATCTGTTTATGGATTTGGATCAGATACACCGCGCTACTTCCCTGAGGCTGTGACGCAAAAGAATTCAAAATCCGAACAATCATTGGCACATGCAGTTTATGAGGATCAAATTAAGGAACTAAAAGAAGAGAACATGCAAATGAAGGAAAAAATGGCATGGTTGGAAGCGGAATTTGTTGCAATTCGTGGTGCAAATCAACCTTCTTTTCAGTCTACTAATCCAGTCGTTAGCCATGAAAGTATTGGTGTTGGATTAGATGATCTTGAGCAATAGATCCAACATTCTAACTTTTTTTTTGGTGATGGGTTATATGATCTTGAGCAATAGATCCAAGATTCTAACTTTTTTTTTTGTGATGGGTTAGATGATCTTCAGCAATAGATCCAAGCTTCTAACTTTTTTGTGATTTAGGAAATATTTTGATTGTATTAGCACATTTTGAATGATGGTGGATATTAGAATTGCAACATTATGTATAATTAAATTTGATATTGAAATGTATAATATTTGTGTTATGAAATTACTAGTTTTAAAATTGGTAAAGCAGTGTATAATTTGTAGGAAAAGTAGCAATAGAAATTGTAAATTACAAATATATATATATATATATATATATATATATATATATATATACATATATATATTTATTTATTTATTAGTTTCCGACCGCCCGATCGTGGAATTTCCGACCACATGGTGGTCGGTAATATGGATCCGTCCAAGTACCAAACCCGTCGTTTGTTTTCGACGATTATAAAAATGTGCTCGTTGTTTCCGACCACTCTCTTTGGTGGTCGGAATTAGCGACGGACCTTTTTCCGGATCCCCATTTTGGTCAGAAAAGTGGTCGGAAACACGGTTTCTGACCCAATTTAGGCTGTTTCCGACCACTTTTGGGTGGTCGAAAATCTGATGATTTCCAGCAGTGATCGCACGGGTGCAAATACTAGTACATTAACTATAGTAATAACATTGCCACTTGAAAAGTTAATTTTTACCCGAAAATAATAAAGCTAGTCTTGACAAAAAAAAAAAATTAAAAAATTAATTTTTTAGTATGACAAAATAATAAAGCTAGTCTTTGACATTCATGGAACCCTTCATCCTCTTTTGCATGGGAAGGTGGCCACTCTGATATACAACCCAAACCTCGCTTCAAGTGGACTCCTCATCTTCATCATATCGTCGCTTAGCTTCTCCGAAGCTGTTCAATTTCTTGGAGGAGTGCAATGTGACCATTTCCCTTCACCGGTTTAGTTTAATTCAATTCAATTTTTGAAAAATATATTATTTGAATTTCTGTATTTTCTAGAAAAAACAACGATTAAAAACCATTGTCTATTGAGTGTTGTTGAAACCGGTGTTGTTAAAAGTCACATACGTAGACAACGATTAAAACCCGTTGTTTATTGAGTGTTGTTGAAACAGGTGTTGTTAAAAGTCACGTACTGTTGTCTTTTCTAAAAAAGACAATGGTTAAAAACCATTTTCTATAGAGTGTTTTCGAAACCGCTATTGTTAAAAGTCACTCACATAGACAACAGTTTTAAACGGGTGTCATTTCAGAAAAAAACAGCAGTTTTAAAATGTTGTCGAAACCTGCTATATTCTCGATAATTTCAATCTGGTAGGGAATATCCCAACCGACATAGCTTTACCCCGACCGGTGTGCCTTCATCCTTTTCTTCTTGTCTTTGCAGGTAACAGGTCGGGTTTCTTGTGAAAGACGCGGTCGGGATCCGACCGGGAGTTACCCGAGCGGCAGTGTCGACCACCGAGCGATAGCCCTTTTGCGAGAAAGCTGACGAGGGACACGTGGCGGCTCCACGCGTTGACAGGCAGGGCACCCGGGACAACGACACGTGGTTGCTACGTGGGAAGCATGCCGAACGGCCGGATTTGTGTCTCCGGCTCCGCGGCTATAAATACCCGCGATAGCGATAGTGTGAGGGACTTTTGGACGATCGATAGGTTGTTGTTAGAGAATCTCGACCGCAGTCAGTCGGTACTCAGAGCAACCAAGTAGATTGTACTTAGGGCCTTCATTGATCAATAAGAGTTATTTACTTGCTTTAATTGGTCTATTACTTATTTAATTACCGCTTATGTGGCAATTAACACTATCATTTTGGCGCCGTCTGTGGGGACCCGTGCAAGAAAGCTATCGTCTTGACGAGCACCCGGTCTCTCATCAACCATGTATCCGTGGGCACAAAACCTCTTCGCCGACGACCAGGCGGATGCAGCGAGCTCATCCAACCACTAGGCGACTCAGCAGCAAGGTCAGACTATGGACCTCAACCTTAATCTCTCACCGCCCCATCCATCTAACACATACCCGGCCGCCCAACAGCCGGTGAACTACATCCAACCGGATTACCCAACACCCGGCCAGCAATACCAGCAGCAGCCGATGCCGTATCCCGGCCAGTATCCATACCCGGTCCCGCCTCAACCGTACGGGTATTGGCCCGGCCAACCGATGTATTACACACCCCCGGTTGGCTATCCACCATACACGCCTGCGTACACGGCTCCAGCCGCCGCCCCTCCAGTTTACCCGGCCGCACATGTAGAGCCGCAGCATCAGCCCACTTCCCGGGCTCGACACTGGGCTCGTTCGCGGTTGTGGTCGGGGGGTGCTGATGCGATGGAGGCACCACGGCAAGCCCAGCAAGCACCGGAGGTTCCGGCCCAAGTGGAGGACCCCGAAGAAGTTACACGAGCGGTAGCTTTTGATCGTCTTCGACCGGCGATGCGACAACGTTTGGGGCCCCAAGACCCAAACCGGCAGCCGGAGGACGTACGGATGCAGGAAGCTAGCCAGGAGGCTTTATCCGGGCATAGCGGGTCGAGATCTCACCGTCGACGACGCGCTCGGGACGCAGCCCAAGCTGCCTAGGCAGCCGAGCTCAACGAGACCCGAGGATTGCTCTATAACCTCCAGGCGGAGTTTGCGCAATTCAGGAACGCGCACCCTGCGACACCCCCGGTCGACCAATCGTCCTTGCTCAGGACGCCCTTCACTGCCGAGGTAATGGCTCAGCCCTACCCGCTTGATTTGAAGGTCTCCGGGGAGAAAAGCTATGATGGCCGTACGGACCCTGAGGTCCACATCAATGATTTCTACAGAAACATGATGTTGAAAGGCGTATCAGACGCCGTGATGTGTAGGGCTTTCTATTCCACGCTCACCGGTCGGGCGGTGGAATGGTTCCGAACTTTGCAGCCGGGCTCAATTGCAGATTTTAACGCCCTGGCGATCAAGTTCGTGAGGAAATTCATCACCTCCAAGGTGGTGAGGAAGTCCTACATGTACTTGGAGAAGGCCAAGCAACTTGAAGGGGAGAGCTTGACCGATTTCCTTGTCAAGTGGAAGGCAGCGGTCGGCGAGGTCGAGCCAATGGATGATGCGACCGCTACCCACATGCTCCACATTTCCCTCCGGGCGGGTTATTTGTATCAGGACTTCATTCTACACCCCCCGGCCACGTATGAGGAGGCCCTTCGAAGGGTCACAGATTATGCCAACGCCGGCGAGGCGAATGCCGTAAAGCGCTCGCAGGAGGTCGGGTCTTCGTCCCGTAAACCGGCCGGCCGGGCGGAACACCGATCGGGTGATGATCATCCCCGATCCCGCACTAGGCCTGGTGAGTTTACCGCCCTGAACCGATCCGCAACGGAGGCCATGCAAAACGCTCAGTCCTGCATTCTCATCAAACTCCCCCATCCCGATCAAGATGGCCCTGACAAGAGTAAGCACTATGCTTACCACCGATGTGCCGGACATGACACTGAAGAGTGTACCCACTTGCGCCAACTGTTAGAGGACCTGCTCAATCTTGGAAAGTTGGACAAGTGTGTGGGGAAGAGAGAAGACACCAAGAAGAACACCGATCGGAGAGATCACCGGCGCTCCCATCACCGTTCCGATCGCTCTGATCGTGATGGACGCTCCGATCGGTCAGGTCAGGACCGAAGAGACGATCGAAGGGACGATCGTCGTGATGACCGACGGGACCCTGACCCTCCATCTAGTAGCCGACCGGCAGGAAAGCCGACCATCCACGTTATTTTTGGTGGATTGGACAATGTTTCCCGATCGAGGGGGAACTGCCCGATCGCTATAGTGGATTCCCGGGACACCGGGAAGAGGCAGAAGATGGAGCCCATAACCTTCACCCTCGAAGATCAACCCAGCAGCGGTGACCATGGCATGGATGCGCTCGTGGTCACGATTGATGTCAAAGGGACGGATGTCCAGAGGGTTATGGTGGACACTGGGAGCAGTGTGAACGTCCTTTATTTGGACGTGTTTGAGAAGCTTGGACTCGACAGGAAGGAGCTGACTCCGGTCGGTGTACCACTGTCGGGATTTACCGGGGTGCTTGTCTACCCCGAAGGGAAAATAATGCTCCCAGTCGAGATCGGCACATCCCCGAAGTCGATCAGAACAGAGTTGGAGTTCGTTGTGGTCAACCTCCATTGTGTCCACAATATTATTTTGGGCCGACCCGCAATCATGAAGATTGGTGGGATAATTTCAATGCCTCACCTATGCATGAAATTCCCCACCCCCAATGGGGTCGGTGTGGTCCGCGGCAAGTCCAATCCGCCCGGAAGTGTTACACCCGAGCGGTCAACAGACGTGACTCCGGTCCGTCTTCCCGGGTGAACACAATTGCCAAGGAGGAGGCAAAAGACCAGAAGGAACAACCCGAGCCTTCCGAGGAAATAGAGGAAGTTCCCCTGTCCGAGGACCGACCGGATAGGAAGATTAAAATTGGTCGGGCCCTAACCCCCGAGCTCCGAGCAGAAATCCTGGCCATACTCCGGGAATATACCGACATCTTTGCATGGGGGCCCGAAGACATGCCTGGGATCGACCGATCGGTAATCTGTCACAAGTTGGCTGTCGATCCCGCAGCAAAGCCGGTCGTGCAGAAGACCCGGCACCTTTCTTCCGATCGCCGCGAGTTTGTTAGAGAAGAGGTCAAGAAAATGGCGGCGATCGAGCACATCCGTCTGGTGATTTATCCCGAGTGGGTGGCTAACATTGTCCTTGTTCCTAAGCCCCCAGCTTGGAGGATGTGCATCGACTTCACCGACCTCAATAAGGCCTGTCCGCTCGACCCGTATCCTCTACCGAGTATCCACCAGATGGTCGGCGAGACGGCCGGGGCCGAGTTGATGAGCTTCATGGATGCATTTAAAGGATATCATCAAATAATGATGCACCATGAAGATGAGAGCAAGACAGCCTTCGTGACCCCG